CCTTCAATTGTGCTTGGTCTCAGGCCTCTTCTAGCTCTAAAAGCCGGTGGGACTACGGTCTCATAGAGTGACTATAAAATATTTGGTTACAGATTTTGTAACCAATGTGCCAAAAAGTATATATCTGAAGCAGAAGCAGAGTAGTTTCATTGTGGGGCTCTGCCTTTATTTTCCAATAGTGTTATCACTGCTCAAAACATTTTTGGAAATCCCCTTTGAATTGTCCACAGCCACAGTTTATAAGTCAATTGAGAACATATAACTTCCTTCAGTCAAAACTCCACTGTTTACAAAAAAACCTTTCCTTATCCCCCTTCATGGCAATGCTTCCTCTCTATTGATTATTACCAGTTTATCCTCTCTGTGCCTTGTTTGTACATAGCTGTTTCTTGTTTCTATACTGTCTCCCCCATTAGACTGTAACTATGCTATCTTTTACCTTTCTTTGTATCCCCAGCATTTAACATAGTACCTGGCACACAGTAAATAAATGCCTGTTGATTGACTTAACATCTTTTTGCTGTTTGTTGCTTTGTTTTTAATCCAAATCCTACAACTCACCTGATTCATATGCCTTGGTTTCAGGTGACTTTTGGCTATTTCTAGAAATCAAGTCCATCCTCAAAGGCTGAGGTTTATAACCCTGAGGCTATTTCAAAAGACTTTTATTTCCAAAGAGGAGTCATAGTCTCTCAAAGCTGGAAGAGATCTCCAGAGCAGCTATCTAGTTGAATCCATATGTAAACAAGAATCCTTTCTAAAGAATAGCCAACAAGTAGTTGAGTCTGTCTGTTGTAGCACAGCCCTTCAGTGTAGACCACTAATGGTTAGGAACAACTCACTGTCTCCCACAGGGCTCAATCCACTTCTGCATAGCTCTGAGGTAGAAGTTGAACAAATTTTCCGAGCAACAGCAAAATTGCTAAAAATTAAAGCATCTGGTCTCCCAAGGTGACTCCTTAGAAGGGAGACCATCCAACTGGAAGCCCAAGTTCTGATACACATTAACAAAAAACAACTCCATCACTTTACCTGTTATCAATGGAGATTTGGTGGGCAAATTGAGGGGAATGAACAGATAAGAAAGAAAGAGAAAACTGGGATTGGACAGTTAATACCACACCCCACCTCTCAACCCCTCCTCCAGCTCTAAGGTATTATAGCTACAGGTCTTAGTGTAAACTCATAGCCATAGTCACCCTGTACCTCTTTTGTCTGAGGGACTTAAATGCCTAGGGGACCTTGAGTTGTCACAGAAGAGACTTGGTGTGGGGGTGGGGGGAGGAAGCCATAGCAGAAATTCTCCTCTCCTCTGCAACCATACACATCAGACATCTCTAATTAGACAGCAACAAAATTTTATTAATAGGATGGACATTATGGAATGAGCTTGTTATAAATGGGCCCTGTCAGAGCCTTATTCAGCTACCAAATGAGTATTCTCAGTTCACTGCTCTCATCTGAGGCATCACGCCTGGTGCTGGATAACAAATGATTGCTATTAACCGTATTGTTAGTAATGATGGCTGAAAACAAACAAAAACCCATAAATAACAGTCTACAGAAAAATTAACCCATAAACTTGATAGATATCCAGCTGAGAAATAATAAATGACACTTTGGGGCCTGCTGGGAGAAGCTAGTGGTTTTTGTTTTCCTCTCTGTCATTAACACATTTTCTGTGCTAAAAATTAGATTCTGATATATAATTATCAACGCTCCCAGATATTAATTCTGCTATCGCTCCCTCGGTTTCTCTGCTGGCTGGCTATAATGTTATTCACAGATTACTCTGAGAAAACACATCAAACACTTAACAGAACAGGTCAAAGTGACAAGCAGCTTTTGCTGACAACACCAACCTGCACTGTCTTTTTTTTTTAAACCAGGGACACAAAACAAATTTCTCATATTAATTAACTTGGGTTCCCTTCTAGCCAGCACAGGCCTGTGCTATGTAATGTGAGGTAAGCAAATTCCCTACTGTCCTAATGAAGGCTGTTGAGAAAAGGAAGAAGAGACAAAAAATTATGTGGCATTTAGAACGTTCAAGGTTGCTGTTCATTACCACCGGGGGGGGGGGGGCAGGGGAAGGATGTGCTGTTCAAAACAAGTTGGCAGAAAGTCTTACCCTGGCCTCTTCTCCCAAGGAACCCAGGGTGGGGAGCATAGCATTCTTGAAGGTACCTAGAGTCAAGCATGAACACCAAAGACCTTCCCCCCAAAATGAGTCTGGTTCTGATGCTGGAGGACACATCAGCAGTATCCCCAGGAAGGACTTTGCCTTTCCAAATATGGCAACTTCTGCGCACATCATTGGTCCTGACCACTGTACTAAAGAACAATTAGCCAGACCTAGAATAAGAAGGAAAATTCACCCAAGTCCCTTCTCATCTTCCCTATGGAAAGCAGAGATTTAAATATAATAATTTGTATGTATGCATAGAGAGAGAGGTAACTAGATGGCACAATGGATAGAGTACTGGGCTCATAGTTAGGAAGACTTGAGTTCAAATCCAGCCCAGAAACTTCCTAGCTGTGTGACCTTAGGCAAGTCACTTAATCTCTATCTGCCACTGGAAAAGGAAATGGCAAACCTCTCCAGTATCTTTGCCAAGAAATGGGCTCAGGAAGAGTCAGATACAACTGAAAGACATATATACATACAACATATACATGTGTGCATGTGTATAAATATACAGACAGTTGTGTGCAGAGAGACCCACACCTTCATAAAAGCAGCTTGGCTTAACAGATAGGCAGCCTCAGAGTCAGAACAACCAGGGTTCAAGCCCTGACTCTGCCACATGCTGGCTGTATGATCCTGGCTTAGTCACTTAACAACTGAACTACTGCAGGGGGACAGATCTGCTGGTAAAAGGAGTTTCCCTGTAACGTTTAAATCACAAGTCCAGCCCAAATAGATACACACACTCACACATGTATACGTACACACATACCTATGTATATGTATATAAACATATACCTATATAAATACACATACACATACACATATATACATGTGTATATAATTGTGGGAAAAGTGACATTAGATTCCATTAGTAAAATTAATTCAATCAACAAACATCTATTAAACACCTACTAGTGCTTCCCACTATGCTAGGTGCTGGGCATTATACAACAATAAAAACAAAAACAGGCCCTCACCTTAAGGAGCTGTCTCTCTGAGAGCAGGAGGTGAGAGACCACGAGCTTGCAGTTAAATAAACACATAACATTTCCAAAATTGATACAAAATAAATATGGGAGGAGGAGTCACTAACCACAACCATCATGGTAATAGCTTGCACATCCTTGGTATTCTATATAAAGTAGCACTCCGCACTAATAGTTAACAATGCTTTCCTCCGAGGTCCTGTTTGGAAAACTAGTGATCTCATGAAAAACACCAAACATAAATAATATGCAGGTGCCTCCTTGAAAGGCAGTGGCTGATTTCTAGGCAGACCTGTTATTTGTGTAGGATTTAATTTTTATTGTCCTTTAAAATAGAGGGAAGGAAATGGCAAATAAAGGAGAGGACAGGAAGAAATTTTAGGTAAAATTGGAAGAGGGAGAGAAATACTTTCAAATGTTCTCACTAGGGCCTATAGTAGAATTGGTGAGCAGGGGAATTTTCACAATTGAAAAAAATAAAGTATATCAACCATTTTACCAGCCTGAGCTCCCACCAGAGGCAAAGAAGTACTGACTTCCTATTTCAAACAATCAAACAAAAACCAACCCAGACCCATTTGCTTTCCCTCAACAATGGTAGTGAAACTCGACCAAAAGGTAAAAGGGGGGAGGTTTAAATTTAGGCTACTAGTCACCTGAAGGAAACTGGATGTCAGAATCGGGGCAGAAGAGACACACACTCAGCGAGACAATGAATGATGCTGGGCTAGGGTGCTGGAGAAGGCAAAAGAAAATGGAGGATGGTGTTTGGGCCACCAATTCAGCCAACACTGGTGACAGCTGTGGGAAACACTACCTCTCTTGGAACAGACCCTGTCCCCACTGTCCTTCCCCATATCCCTCCCGCCCCTTTAACTATTTATTCCCCTATCCAAATAATATTTATTAAGTAGGGTAAAAAGAGGAAGAACCCCACTCTTCCACGGCCGCCTGTTATCCCTGCACCTTGTCCAAGGATCACTGCCGGCTTGATGACAAGAGTCTGAACTGCAAATCCCACACATCCCATGCACTACATTTTCTCCCGTATCTGGCATTGTGATATTAAATAACTATAAAACTCGAAAGCCAAAATAACTAAATCACCTGGCAGCCAATTTCTGAGAGTTAAACCACAAACCCGGAAAATGGTGGAGTGTGTTGAAATAATGTAAAGGAAACCCATAAATTCAAACTTTATGTTCTGTAAAGAACAAATATGAAAAAAGCATCAAAATAATGAAAGATTGTTTATGTATTCTGGCATGAAATGGGAATGTGTTATGAGAGGGAGCACGGCGGCAGAGACAGATCGACAAAGCTGACAGTGTGGTATTCATCCTCGGCGGCGCGGCGGCCGACGTCCCACTAGTGTCAGCAGACAGCGCCATAAATCAAGGGCTCTCGATGCTGTACCTACAGCTTATTACATCCAAGATGACAAATAAATAATAATCCCTGTCAGAGCGGCCCTTTGCTCAAGGATTGAGCCTGAAACCTTTGGCTCATCACTCCTCATCTTAAGTGAAAACACTAGAACTGGGGAATTGGAGGCCACGGTTTGCTAAGCTCATGAAACACAAAACGAGCCGGGCAGGGGGACACGGACTAAACAAGTAAGGTCAGGAAGTAAGAAAGGATAAACATTTAAATAATCCTGCCTGAGAGGTGGCAAAGTGGGAGTAGCAGGGCCGGCTACCGCGGCCTCACGATCAGCTCGGGAGGGATGGGGGAGGCAGGGGAGACGAGAAAGTCCAGCATCAGCATCCCCAGAGCCCCTCCCACTGACTCCGTGCCTCACACTGATTGCTGCCCAGCGGGCCGTGATCCTGGAGACGAGGTGCTGGATTAGAGGGGACCATCATAGACAGGGTTCCTGTCTTTCCCCTCCTCCTGGGCACATATTATTTGGATAATGGAAGCGTTAAAGGGCCCTGAGGAAGCTGGGGGAAAGACAGAGACTACGGGGTCCGTCTGAAGGTAGGTATGGCTTCCCATGCTGCCCGTTCAGAAGTAGGAAGGGCGAATGATCAATCAGGGGCGTCTGGCTTTTTCCAGGCTCAGATTTCAGATTCTAAGACCTACTTCTCCTAAAATCAATCGCTCAATAAGCACTTATTAAGTGTCTATCATGTGCCCCCACTGTGCTAAGCACTGGGTGTGCCCCCTACTCATACCATCACCTTCACTATTGACTCAGTGATCAAAAGAATAAGGCCTACCACAAGTTTATTGACCTTAGTTCTTTTCTTGTCTTTCCCCCCACCCACTCAGGATCAGAGATCTAAATGAAGCTAGAAGGGATCTATCTAAGAGAACAGCTAATTCAACACCTTCATTTTATAGTTGAGGAAACCGAGACCCAGAGAGATGAAGTGATTACCCCACACACACACACTGTCAGATGGAAGGACTGACACAGGCTCTCAGGACTCCAGTGTCATATCAGCTGGGCTTTGAGATCTTTCTCTCACTTTATATAGAACTATATCTCCCAGCCCCTTCCTCCCTTCAGATTTTAGGAAGTGATTTAGTAGTAAGTTATAGGCACTGGACAGGCCTATCAAGGGGGCCCAGGTCTAAACCTTCCTTGGCTGTCTACTTAACTATGAGACCTTAATCATGTCAGTCAGTCAATAAGAATTTATTAAATGCCTACTATGTGCCGAGCATTGTCCCAAGGGCTGGGAATGCAAAGAAAGGCACAGACAGTTCCTGCTCTCAAGGAGCTCACGGTGTAATTAACATGTCTATTAATTCTAAAGACCTTCCATTTTCTACCCCTCTTTGCTAGTTAGTTGGATGATTCCTTTAAAGACCTTGGAGAAGGTCTAAGACCTTCCTCCACTCTTATTTCTATCCCTCTGTACTCCTTATCTTAACAGTCAAGACTCTCTCTGTTCTTACTTCATATCACTCCCTTTCCTGACCAACTTGGACTACCCAAGCTGTTCCCTCACCTTTATATGTTGTCTCTTGCCTCCAAGTATTTGTACAAGCCATCACCCAGGCCACCTCCATCGTCAGAATCCTTCTTTTCCTTCAAGGCTCAGCTCAGGCACCATCTCCTTCCTGCAGTCTTCTCTAATCTGCCCAGCTGAAAGTGTTCTCTCTCCATTCAAATTTTCCTCAGAACTTTCTGTGATCTCTTCTCTGTCTCTCTTTACTCCCTACCCAGTATTATATTTACGTGCTCATGCCATATCCCACCATAGAACTTAAGCACCTTGTGGGAAGCATTTTGTTTGTGCCTTGGGCAATGACCAGCATATAACAGTAGATACTTAATAAATATTTGTTAAATTTAATTTGTTCCTCTACAAGTGTTAAATTCACATCAGCTCCCAGCTTGACTATATAGGGAAAATCATCTCCTTCCCTGCCTACAATTTTCCAGTTGTTTTTTTTTTCCATTTCTCCCTAGGAGATGGAGAAGATGAAATCATCAAAGACAGGTAGGCAACAGTCCATTCTTCAGTGTGGGAAACCAAACTATCTCCAAATACATGTATGTGTGTGTGTGTGTGTGTGTATGTATATGTATATGTATATGTATATACTAGCAGATATGTGCGAATATGTATACTAGATATATGTGTATATACAGATATACTAGATGTATGCACATATACATATACAAATATATACACCATATATAGTGTGTATATGTGTGTATGTATGCACACTAGCAGATAAGACTAAAGGAGTTATTTAAGGCATGTCAAAATAAGTAAGAGAGATAATTAGTAGGCAGCAGTGGGGTGTGAACCCAGGTCCTCCTGTTTCAAGCCCAGCACTCCCATCTACTTTATCAGCCTGATTCTTAGGGGGTGGGTGGGGAATCAAGTCAAACTCAAAATGAGCTTAAGAGTCCAACTGTCTCCAATCTGTATATCATATAAACCTAAAATCAATTACCTCCCCCATTCACCCTGAGAGTTTCCTTTTGACAAACTTCATGTAGGACATGTTGGCTTTTCAATGTCATTTTGAAAATAAAAAATAAAAATCAGAAAGAAACCTAAGTTTTCCTTATTTGCAATAGATCATACACAAGGGTTCTTAAGCCTTGCATCCATGAACTTGTTTTTTAAAATATTTTGATAAATGTTTTTCAATATAATTTGTTTCCTTTGTTATTCTATATCTTTTATTTTATGCATTTTAAAATATAATTCTGAGAAACGTTCCACGGACTATACTAGATATGACAGTGACCAAAATGTTCTTTTAGACCATGGACTTAAAAACAAGAGCCTTTCTAGTTTGTCTTGGTATTTAGGCAATTTTACCCCCTTTCCTTCTCCTCCTCTATTATTTCACCGGCTTCCATCTCTTTACACTAAAATTTAATCCCTCTTTGTAATAGTCAATTTGCTTCCTTATTTTTGGTTCCTTCTACTTCATTTGGCAGAATTTCAAGCACACAGTATTAAATGTGCCACTTTTGATTTTCATGGGCTGTTGCAATAGCTAGAATTCTCTGCAGGGACATACACCCAAAACACCACTTATGGCATCAGATTTAACAAACCCAGCCATGCAGCTCAGTCTAGACTCTGAAGCCTGACAACTGGAAGATGTTCAGCAAGGCTTTGAAAAGACAACAGACAACAAGCAAAGGGAGGGGAGAATAATAATGATGATGATGACAATGATGATGATGATAACATTTAAGTGGTGCTTTAAGGTTTGCAAAGAATTCAAACTTAGTATTTCATTTCATCCTCAATGCTGGGAGGGAGGTGCTATTATTATCTCCATTTTACAGATAAAGAAACAAAGGCAGACAGCAATTAAGTGACATATCCAAGGTCACACAGCTAGAGTCTGAGGTTGGATTTGAGCTCAGGTCTTCCAGAGTCCAGGTCTAGCACTGTATCTACTATGCCAGCTGGCCCCCTCTATAAAACCCATGGCCCAAAGAAGCTAGTTTCATTAATGTTCTTCATGCCATCAGCTGTAACATAGTCATATAAGTAGGGGAAATTACAGTTTAATGAGTATTTCAGATACTATCTTCAGGGATGGACAAATATATTGTTCCTTAGCTTTTTTCTCTCCCATCATCACTGTAGATAGTTTCACTGAGGTCAAATCTATCTCAAGCCTAGAATGGACAGCCTCTGCTCTCATATTTGGTGCTACACAGTCACACCGATATCCCTAGATACCTCTCTCTTATAATCAGAAAACTGCAGTCTTAGGTATCTGTTGGCTTGGAATTCTGCCTAGAACACCTTCCTAGGGACCTCTATTGCTTCCATCTGCCCATTTGATGCTTTGGGGACTGACCCTAAAACCCTACTCAATTTCCAGCTTTCCTTATCAGCTAAGAGATGGGGTGGGGGAAAAGAAAAGCTGCAAGGTAACTATCAGACACTCTTTCCACTCTTCCTGGAATGCAGTTTTCTATTTTTTTTAACCTCCTTTTCTTCAAGTATCACTCATACCCGTTTACCCCTTCACAGAAAACCCCAAAACCCAATAAACAAAAGCAATCTCTCATGATCTCTAAGATCCCTCAAGGTCAAACATTCTACAGTCTTTTCCAACTTAGAAGACACAATAATACTCATTTGAATTTTTTTTTACTATTCCATTAGATGGTTCCAGAGTCCTCTCCCATAATAAAGAAATAAATAATAAAACCAGCAAGAAATAGAGTATAATGACCCTATTCTTTCTATCCTCAAGTACCCTTCCTCCATCAGGAAGATGTATGGGATGATTTATTCAAGAGCATCTACTAACATAGCTATCACATTCCTGGAGCTAGCATGGCATCCTACACAAAGTAGATGTTTAATAAATGATTATCGGCCTGGATTCCTGGGAACAGAAAACATGAGGTACCCTTGTTACTCCAGAACAATTTGAGCATGACACTAAACAGTGTGCTTTTTGAGGCAAGAAATCAAAAAGATGCAATTCTGTTGATATAACCCATCTAATGTCTTAGTAGTTAAGTCTTAGATACTTGCCCAAATCTTGGAGAAGTTAAGTGATTTTGTTGAGGTCACTCAGATTGTAAGCAATCTGAGACTACATCCGAATCCAGGTCTTCCTGACTCGAAGTCTAGGATGCTGCCTACTCAGTCACTACTGCTTCTCTAGGTATGTTTATCAATGGAAATAAAAAGTATTCTGAGTTGAGGCAGATCTCTGATATGGTATAGGCTCTTCACCTGGATTCCAGGAATTTTTAAAATGTGATTGATAGATAGATAATGCATAGTTAGACAGATAGATGATGGATATGTACACACTATAAATATATACTATACATCAATATATTTATGTATATGTATAAATATAGGTATACTTGATATATATGTATATATAATTGTTTCTGAGAGTGGGTCTCCCTATCTTGCCCAGGTTGAAAGCACATCAGCCACTCATAGGCCCAATCCCACCACTGATCAGCTCAGAAGCTTTTACTTCCTTTCTTTCTGACCTGGGCTGGCTCACCCCTTCTTAGGCATCCTGGTGGACCCTCTTCACAAGGGCTTACCATATTGGTACCAAAATTAATGGAGACACATAACTGGCTTGGTCCACTGCAGCTCAGAACTCCCAAGCTCAAATGATCTACCAGCTTCAACTACACTCTGCCCCCACACCATTCTGTGATACACACACACACACACACACACACACACACAAAACCATTTTTCAACTACATTTCAGTATAATTGGTTTCTCTTGTTATCCTACATATTCTTATCTTTTTAAAAGATATTATTCTGAAAAAGGGTCTACAGACATCACCAAATTGCCAAAGAGTTCTGCCACACCAAAAAAAAAAATTCCTACATGGCAACCATTCATTCTAAGTATGGAGTCTTGGGATAGGAACATCACAGTGCCAGAATTATTAAGGTTTAGCATTTTCCAACCATATATTTGTTGGAAGCAGACATGGGGTGCCTTGCTTTATCAGACCCCTGGTTATCTGGCTTTAACTGAGCTAACTTGACAAAACAGATGGGGAAGGAATAATAGCAATCAGTTGAACTAATGATGGTAGCTAGTGTCTAAATGCCCTTTATATAAACACAGTAATTCCATTAATACCCATTGTATACATTTCCAACAATACACCAGGAGATTACTGCTGAACTGGAAAAACACCAGAATCCCACTAAGAAAATAATGCCTATTTCAGGTACGCCTGTGCTCTAACTGACTTAAATTATTATGGATGTGCTTTATACTTAATTACCTTTCTAAAATATATTGGGGTATTTTGTCATAAACTCCCATGCCATACACCTAAACACTGCTCAAAAACGCAACCCCTTGGCTAATGTTTTTATCTGAATTACTTATTACCCAATACAGCACGCATCAACATTTTCTAGAAACCAGAACTGGGCTTCTCTGCATTCCCTCCTCCCTGAATGCCAATCACTGTGGGGAGCATTTAGTTATAAATTGTCTTTCAATAAAAGTAAAGGCTCCCAAAACAACAAAATGAAAAGACACAGCAACTTAAATCAAGGGAAGTCAATTTCCACATGCCGATCCTAAATATTTCATGGCCCTATTTTATTCTGACATTTGTAGATGACTAAAGTGTTACAAAGGAAATAAAATACTGATTAAAGAGTTCACTGTCATAAAGGTTACTGAATTGTAAATGGCCCTTTCCATCTTCCTGTTAATAGGTACCCAGCTGTAAACATCATGAAGGATGTGACGGGAGGCCTGCTCGGCTCCTTTAGGAGCCGTATATACATTAATCACTGAATCACCAAGCCATGCTTAATTGCATGTTGTATATCACACAAATCCATGGTAAGTAGAAGGGAACTCATTATCGCTGCTTTATAACTACTGGGTACTCCTCGTTTTAACCTCCTCACACCTGGGACACTTTGTTGCTTTACAACAGGAACGCAGGGAACTGGATGCAGGCACTAATTGCAGTCAACCTGGAGAGGGAAACCGAGCCCTGGTGGGCCCACACCCATGGCTGGCGGCCCTTGCTTTTTACAGCCAAGTGCAGCAGGCTCTCCCAGCCCCAACTCCATCCTGGCTTCTGCTTCCGCCCTTTTAGAGGATGATGTGCTGAAACCCATTCCTCCTTGAGAGTTTACAGAACTGTTAAAATGATAAAGAAAAAAAAAAGCCCACAGTATATTTTGCTTTGACAAAATTATTGATTTAAATCCCATACAATAGCACGGTACTATTTAAAGGTCAACCCAAGAAAAATGAGTTTACACCCGACCAGAGCCAAGCTTATCTGTCATGAAAGTGTAATGATGTGTTTATTCCTTCACTAGTGTGTGTATATTTTTCAGGAAGATATAATAGTCTGCTTGTAGGTGAAATCTGCTCTCAAATGGGAATTTCAGGAGATATTTACATTTCAGATTGTAAGGGCTGATATCTTGGGCCCTGATGCCCATTTCCTAAGCCCCTGTCGGTTTATTTACGCTGCCTGAGAACCACAGCTCTCCCTCCCCAGCACAAAAATTATTCTTCCTGGCCTACAAATCACTTTTTCCCCTCTCCCCTTTTCAAATAGGTAAGGCCACAAATTGAATGAGGAGGGATTTCCGATTACCTGGCTTTCTGACATTTCTGTTTGTCCTTTTACAAGTCAACGAGATAGCAATAAAATGCTCTGACTCCATTGTCTCTTAGAAATATCCATCATCATAGGATCTGTATGGGCCTCATTTTTCTCTTTTAAAAACTCAAAGCAGGCCCTCCTTCCTTTTCTGCTTCCTCTCCCAAAAGGGCCTTCTCACTTGCTCTCATTCTGTACATGAACCTTTGGAAAAGCAGAGAGTGGGGAAGCTAAGCCAATAAGAGATACCTATGACCCAGCATCACCATGAGATTTCACACACAGTAACATCATGGCCTCTGGCCTTTCCCTGTAAGAATCTCCATAGCCTGTGGTCTTGAACCTTGTGCTGTTAAAAATCTTGGCTCAGTACTCTTCAGAACTCTTGTCATTGGCCCTCCATTATTCATGGACTGATTTACCTTGTCTTTAACTCATCCAGAGCCTATGGCCCTCAGTCATCTCCCTGTAGCTGCCAACTCATTGGGCATATATCCCTATGTATTATCATCTCTGTGGGCAACAGCAGGGAAAGACCACAAAAAGCAGACAATTTGGTACTTTGTTAGTATATCTAATGAAAAGTTTTTCGAAAGAAGCAGTTGAAGCTCCTAGCCAAAATTTAATTAAAATTTAGATGAAAATTGGGTGCTAACTCTAATTGTCCAGATTTTCTGTTGTTCCTAAATCTTGGTTATACAAGGCCCATGACTAAGGCAAATTTTCATTTTTCATAGACATTTCCATTATTACATGCCCTCATTCCTATGACAGAATATGTGGTACTCTCATCATTTCTGGGGAATAAAAATTGACATCATTTTTGTCTGTGTTTCTGAAATAAGATATTTATATGTTTAAATTCACCTTTGTTATTGAATCACTGTCATGTCTAAACTGGTTATTATGGGGATTATATTTCCTCTACTCCTCTTCCATCACTCCCCATGGAAAACCTCAAGTTGGTTGTACATGAATCTTCTGTCATTCTATTAGTGACATTTCTCTTGCTCCTCTCTCTAGCCTCCCAAATTCAAATACATCACTAACTCAACCTGCCTTTCTCCAATAGATCACTAGATCTTCACCTCCACTGCCATCATCTACTCTCCTGCAACCCCCATCCAAAATACATTTATTTTCTCTCTCTCTCTCTCTCTCTCTCTCTCTCTCTCTCTCTCTCTCTCTCTCTCTCTCTCTCTCTCTCTCTCTCTCTTTCTCTCTCTCCCTCCCTCTCTCTCTCTCTCTCCCTCCCTCCCTCCCTCAATATGTGTGTGTGTGTGTGTATGTGTGTGTGTATCTCCTACCTCTTTAAATTCCTAATTCTTGTCTTCTTGATCAAGCCTGGATATTATCTTCTGGTATTCTTCTATCCCAGAAATAAACAGGACTGGAATCTAGTCTTACATTTTTCCTGCTAAGACCCTCACCTAGCCCTATGGTACTAGCAATCAGAAGGATGAAAATACCTATACATGAACCACTCCCCCTCCCTATCCCATGGCAAAATTATTCCCTAGGTCCTTAGTATTAATTTGGCACTAGAAAAGGAGCTTTCTGGTATGCTATGACAGCATAGTACCTAAAGGTTATGCTACAGGCCAAATCCAAGATGTCCACCTCTCTACTTTATGTCCAGCTAAACTGGACCACTAACCTTCTCTATATTACTTGACACATGCCAGATTGGACCATAATGGACCTGAAGGGACAAACCACTGAGAGTAGCACGATACAGCAGAAAGAGCATTGATTTTGGAGTCAGAGGACCTAGGTTCAAATCTCACCTTTGATGTTCACTACCTTTGTGTCCTTGGACAAGTCACTTGAATTCCTTGGGCCTCACCTCAGTTTCCTGTTCTATGAAATGAAGGAGTTGAATTTCATGGTCTGTACTGTCTCCTCCAGCTTTGGATCTATGACCCTCTAATTTCTTTGATGTTTGAGTCAGATGCCCAGACCCTGCAAGAAGTCCCTTCTGCCCTCACCCTGCCCCATAATTTGTCCTAGAAGAGATGGGGGAGAGGGATCCTAGTCAGAAGGTCTACAACAAGTACAGGCACGTTTTGTAGGTGACAAGACATCTAACATACTCAGCTTAACAGATTTCAGGAAACATCTGTAAGTAGGCTGTGCAATATAGAATTTGCTCATATGGCCGACACAGGCCACCTTTACTGACCCAACTCCTATTGCCAGCAACCAGCCATGAAGGCCAGAGATGATAAAATAATCCTCTGAAGCACAGCCTCAAATAGCAAATTTGTGGATTTCCAAACATGTTCCTTCTTAAAACCAAGAACCAAACCAAAATGGTTTTAAGGGGAAAAGAATGACTAATGAATCCACTCAAACCAAAACCAGACTTTCATATTTTCTAAATTCCTATTTCCCAAATTAATTTGACCACAGGATATGATAACATTTGAAATATATCAATGAGATCCATGTACAGTGGTCAGGCTACTGAAGAATATGGAATAGCCCTAAGCCAAAAACGGGGGGGGGGAGGATTTGGGAGCAATACAGAGGAAACAAAACCTGTTTTCTTATAGAAAATTGCCACACAAAGTATTTTTGATGGACACATAATTTTGTATTTCATGTTTGGGAGAAGAAAATACCATAGCACTAAAATTTTCTCATGTACCACCTATTCACAGCCTAGCAAATGGCCTGGTATCATGGAAAAGGAAACCGAATAGAAGATGATGTTCTGAATCCACTGATTCAGAACAAAAGTTGATGATCAAGATAGTCTCCAGAACCAACCAATATTCCATCTGTCTCAAATTTTCTGTTGAAGGGAGATCATTCTTAGCAGGCAACAGCTCCCCCAAGCCCTATTGTACATGATAACTATGTACAGTGCCCCATGCTTCTTAGCAACCCTTCTCCCTGGAGCTCTTTGAAAAATCTAAGAACTATATATGCATCACTGTATTTCAAATAAAAATCAGATAAATCTTGAACTTGACTTCCCAACCTAGATTTCAGGGGCAAAGCATAGAGGTCAGTGGAAGCTTAGAAGGCAAAAGTCAAGAGGGTGAGGCACAGAGGCAGTCCTCATCAATGGAGAAGCACAGTTAGGACTCAGGCCATACAGATCAATTTCAGTGTCATGCAGAAAACTATGACCCTTAAAGAAAAATCTCAAGGAAAGGTATATAGTATAATGGAAAATGAACTGGACGGAGTATCAGAAGACCTGAGGTTCTCATTCTGGTTTTGCCATTAACTAGCTGTATGACTTTGGGCAGCGTATGTTGGGAACAGGGATTATTGATCGCTAAGTGACTTTTGAAAATAAACAATATATAAATGGGGGGTAGGATAGGATAAAGGGAAATATACTTAGTTTTTCACAACAGGACTACTACGGAAGTGTTTTGCATGACTACACATCTATAATCTGTATCAAGATGCTTGCCTTCTCAATGAGAGTGGTTGGGGAGGGAGGAAGGGAGAAAATTTGTAACCCAAAGTTTTAAAAACACATGTTAAAAATTTTAAAAATAAAGTAGAAAAAAAGAAAAAAAAAAGAAAATAAATAATATACTAAGCCAGTAGACTATAAGCTCCTTAAGGGCAGGGACTGTAGGGTTTGGTTGTGTTTTTTTTTAGCTCTGTATCTCCACCACCTAGCATAGTATTTGGCTCATGGCAGGCACTTAATTAATATGTAGTAGATTAAATGGAATCTACAAATTATTTCCTGCCTTGTTCAACTTCTAAATTGAACCTATCAGTCTATTCTCTTCATCCTGAAAGGAAGGATTAACCATAACATTCCTGCAGTAAAAGAATCCTAATAAGGATAACCAATAATAATCAACAATCCTATTTTATTACAACACACACACACACACACACACACACACACACACACACACACACACAAATGCCTTGTATCTCAATAGCTCCTCATACTTTTCAAGGTTCTCTTCCATTTCCACAAAGAACAAATTCTGCACACACAAAGCTGACCCTGGGCAATGGTGCCACTCTTCACTAAACACATTCCTTATACTAACAAGTAGTATTTCCTTTAAAGGTCTACTTTGCAAAGGATGGAAGGAATTAGGTCAGGGAGATCTGAGTTCAAATCCTACTTCTGACATTTACTAAGTAGTATTACAACGAGTAAGTCATTTAAAGTATCTGAGACTCATATATGAGATGGGCTATCTATGAGATGGGGATAATAATAACTGTTATTGCAGGGTCCAAATAAGATAATGGTTATGCTGGTTTGCAAACCATAAAATAGTATATAAAAGTCAACTAACTACTATGTCTGATAAGTATGGGGCAGAGATAAAGTGAGTGAAATTACAGTCATAGCGACTTCAGTTAGATCCATACAAAAAAAAAACAAAAGAAGGGATGTCATGATTCTGTAGGCCATTAAAGACAATTCAAAGAAAGGGGCTATAGCATGTATTACATAGTACTGGGAAGATTCATAAAATGTTCTAAGTTATAAAAGATAATACCTGCCCAAGTAAGGATGTCTCTGAGTATGCCACAGTGAAAGACTTTGGGAACAAGATGGAAGACATTATAGGGGAGAAAAAGTGAACAAGTAAGAAAGAAAGAGTACTAGGAATCAGTTCATGAAGGCTCATTAGAGAAGAAAAGGAATTGTCAGGCAATAAGCATTTATGAAGCACCTACTAGATGCCATGCACCATATTAAGCACTACGTTGTCAAATAGGAGGACAACGATTTTCTAAAAGAAGGATTTTTTATGCATAAGTATGTTCAGGTAGATAATGGTATAATGAATATATTCTTTGGGTTCAAAAAGCCATGTTTAGTACATGGTAAAAAGTGCACGTCAGATTCCTGACCATGAAAAAATTAATTAACTTCTCAGTGCCCCTCTAAAACTACAAATTACAGACAAATCTGCATTAGTGAAGGTATTTTCCATACAGGGAATTTCTTAACCAAGAAATTATAAGTTAGACCCCCCCAAAAAAAATCAAACATGAAAATGATTCAGGAGACAAACTAGGTAAGAGAATAGTTTAGCATTCTATGGGAAAGAAGAGGATACAAATTATTATCTGTATCCACTCCATTTAAAAGAAACTGATTTACAGTTTTCTAAGTATGACTAATTGGTCAATATTTATAATGTGCAACTTGCTTTTAAAGTGAGAATGGAGTTCTCTTCTTCCAAAACTCTTGACTGGAATGGGTTAGTCATGGTCCTGTCTGTAAATAGAGGGATAGTCTATATGGCTCCAAAAGGCCTTTCCCAGGACCCCAGGATTGCTCCTCCCCTATATTGCCATGGAGTTTGCCTGCCTCACTTGCAAGATGTAGGAAGGAAAACAAATGTATGCCATGCACTGCGGACACCGTGGCGGCCTGGATGACACCGATGGAAGGATGTGCAATTGAATTAGCAGATAGACAGTGATTGTCATTGGTAATAATTTCTTATTATGTAAGGGCATCTACATGCTGATCAATGTGAGGCAATGGGCAGTTGCTTATACCCAACATAAATCATTATCAATTGGTATACCAATTCCTGGACGTAATCAGGAGCTACAGAAAAGGGGGGCAATATTATCTTAAATACATATGTTGCTTCTATCTGTAGCCTAACTGGCATTTTGCAAAACAACAGCATTGCTACCACCACTAGTGTTATTATTGATGATGGGAGTGGTAGTGGGTGCTGAGGTTGGGAGGGAGGGTTATCGTAAGTGAATAAAATAGTCCTGGATACAACCTCCACCTGAGAGATTCCCCCGTCCTATTAGAGATTAAAAATGGGAATTCTCTCATACCCATATTGGATT